GGAGCTCACAATACAGTTGTAGACATCACTGCAGTTCCCTAGAGATGCAATATGCTAGTCGTTCATTCAGGCCATCCATATGAATCTCTTACTTAAAGGGTAACTCCACTTTTGTGGGAAAAAATATTGCAAATAAAAAAAATTATATATCACTATTGTGATAATCCATATTGTAATAATCAAGGACACACGATGCGTTGGGTCGGGTCATTGCACTCTGCACCTACCGTCTGAAGCTTCTCTGCACAGGATGATTTGATCGTACCTACCTGTGCAGTGCTCTGCAGTAACATTAGGTGACTCTGTATAGCAGAAAGAAGAGGCTGCCAGCCAGTCCCAGGGCCGTATTTACCTTAAAGTGGTTATAAACCTTAGGCATGCAATATGAGCATAGTGTGTACTTGTCTCCATTAAGGGCACTAAGGGGTTGATTTACAAAAACTGGTGAGTGCAAAATCTGGTGCAGCTGTGCATGGTAACCAATCAGCTTTTGACTTCAACTTGTTCAATTAATCTTTGACAAAAAAACTTGGAAGCTGATAGGTTTTTATGCAGAGCTGCGACAGATTTTGCATTCTCCAGTTTTAGTAAATCAATCCCTAAGTGTAATTTCCATCTGCTGCTTCATTCCTCTGCTATCAGCATGAGTCACTTCAGACAAGTTTTCCTGACACCAAGAGAAAAATGGTGACAGGGGAGGGACCTCCCGCAGATTGACAGCCTCAGCTCTGTTCCTGTGAGCTCTGTGAAGTTGGGAGTGCCTCTTCCTTCCAATTAGATGTGAGAGCTCTCCTCACTGAGCTCTGCAGAGTGTAACTTTAGCTCTCCAACTCCTTTTTTCCAAACTCTCAGACAAGCCTTATAAATTTTGCACTTTGAACAGATGTAGTGAAGAGAAGACTGCAGATAGACAGGTACACCTCATGTAGGAGGATGTGTTGCATCTATGTGCATTACCTGATTATAGTCATTTTATTGGGTATATGCAAGGGTTTAAAACCACTTTAATGGGTCTCAAGGGTATAGGGCATCAAGTTTAGGGGGAGCAGTACCAAACATGTCCTTTCTCCTGTTTGGTGGGCTCCACAGTTGAAACATAGCTATAATTATAGTGCAGACTCCATGCTGCCCCAACAGTGCTTTCTAGCAGTAGTAGTTTTTACTAAAAATCAACCAGATTTAACCTGACTGTCAGAATGCAAAAAATCTATATGGAATTTGAGACTATTATCATATGAGCAATACAGTTCTCATACAGTAAATGAGGAGGACTGTGCTGTTTTTCAGCATTTGCCTGTGAAATAACTCCTATAGAGGCCATGACATCAAACACAACAGTGGGACCAAATGTTCTACTTATATACATGGGGCCCATTCTGCAGACAGGCAAAGAGCCACATTTGTATCTCGTAGGGAAGCCCTGCAGTGCTTATATCTAGGGGAGAAGTAAGGGGGGCTAATATTAATGATACTCTGACCCCTTTTCATTGATTCAGTCGTTTGGTCCCCTAGGGCTGGTCATTGAACGCCTTCCTCCTTTACTGCCTGACTGGTATCTTTCAGGAACAGATGTTCATCATGTCTTCTCTCCCTGTTAGAGAACAAGTGTTATCTCAGTGTCAGCAGCATGAATAAATAATTTCCTGCCTCAGCTCAGTGCTTATGAAACTGTCAGAAAACAAAAGTGCTGCTTGGAAATTTGGCTGGTTCAGAATGGACTGGCTGAATTTTGATCAGTGTGTGGTCATCTTCACTAGACAAAAAATTATTGTTTCATCAGTTTCTGTCAAAGGGACAAATTGGAAGATTTTTCTCGATCAGCAGCTGATTGCTGCGAGCAAAGGAAGGTTTTGTTAAACACCAGTGGTACCCTTCTCCAGCAGCCAGGATCACAGCTGTGAGGTGTCTTTGTAGGGACCCAAAGGTAAAGAAGGCAACAGATGACAGATTCAGCAGGAATCAGCCAAAACTTGAGTCAGGTTTGGCCCTACAAGCACCACCAAACTCAACAAAAATTGACTGAGCTGTCTATGGCCACTGACGGCATAGCTGAGGTTTCTGTTGAGAGGAAGAGAATACAACTCAATTATAAAAAAAAAAAAACATTACCGGATCAAGGTTTCGATATAGTGACAGCTTAAAGCTGAAGTTTACCCAGAAGGGGAAGTTTTGCTCTTCCTCCTTCTCTCCCCCTTCTCCTTCACATTTGACAGTTTGCTTTTGGAGGGGTGCGGGTACCTGGTTTTGACAGGTACCCACTCTTCCATATCTGGTTGGATCGCTGCAGCAATCTGAGCTGAAATGTGAAATCCTCCCCTTCCCTTGCAGCCTTCAGGGACATGTCACAGGTCCCAGAAAGCTATGGGACCATTCAGATTGTGTATCGTGGCTCGCACATGCACAGCGAGCAGCTGGCTGTGAAACCACAAGTAGTCACAGTTGGTTGCCCACCGTTAGTATCCATCGCTGGGGGATGAAGCACGGTGAAGAAACCAGCTGGGTAAGGACATCACTGGATCCTAGGACAGGTGAGTGTCCTATTATTAAAAGTCAACTGCTACAGTTTTTGTAGCTGCTGACTTTTAATTTTTCAGAGCTGCTTTAAGAGCTGAGATTCCAGTTATTACAAGGTGTCTAACTGTTCTAGTGTTGCTGAACCCCTTCATGCCGGCCGTATGCAAATATGTGGCCCCACTGGACTGGGCTTTTTTCCATGGGGCCGCTAATTTGCATACCTGTCTTTATGCTGGGAGCACTCCATGTGGTGCACTCCCAGCACAGAGACTGGGGTTTCATTGAGAGCCCAGGGTCCGTGGTAATGATCGGGACCCGGAACTCCCGAATCCAGGTCATCTGATCACTGTGATAGCCTCTGATTATCACAGTGATCAGTCACTGTGAAGCCCGCCCCCGTGTTTTCTCTCTCTGAATGGAGGAGAGAGATACATTGCATCTCTCTCTGTCTTTCAGAGAGAAAAAAAAAAGGTGTGTGTAAAAAATTTAATAAATAACTAAATAAGGGAAATAAAAATATATAAATAAAAAATACCTAGCTCAAGGTTTGATTTAACTCAGTGCCAGGGTTAGTGTTTGGTTCAAGGTCAGAGTCAAGGTCAGGGTCCGTTATTTTTGTTTTTTTTTTTTTTAAATTAGAGTCAGTTAGTGTCAGTGTGTTTTAGACAGGATAAAAAAAGTGTGCAATACAGTTTTTTGGCCGTACTATGCGTACAGGAGCAGGAGAATTTATTTTGAGTTATTCTTTGGTGGAAGGTTATGTTAGTTGCAAGAAATATACAGCTACATTTTAAAAGATTATTTTTTTAGTAATTTGGGCCTGTTTTCCTTTGATAATAAAAAAAAATCAGGAGATATCCATTTCCATTCACCACCAAATGAAAGCCCAATTTGTCCTGAAAAAACAAGGTATAATCCACCTGGATGCACAATAGTGTGCACTATTATTTGTGGGCCGTACTATGCGTACAAACAACCATTAATATACACATATGTGGTATTGCTGTGATTGTCAGGAGGAAAATTTATTTTGAGTTATTCTTTGGTGGAAGGTTATGTTAGTAGCAAGAAATATACAGCTAAATAAATAAATAATGGGAATAAAAATATATAAAATAAAAACTACCTGGCTCAAGGTTTGATCTAGCTCAGTGCCAGGGTTAGTGTTTGGGTCAAGATCAGGGTCAAAGGTCAAAGTCAGGGTCCGTTTTTTTTTTTTTGTCAGGATTTTTTTTTGTAAATTAATGTCAGTTAGTGTCAGTGTATTTTAGACAGGATGAAAAAAAAGTGTGCACTATTATTTTTTTTACTATGCGTACAGGAGCAGGAGAATTTATTTTAAGTTATTCTTTATGTGGAAGGTTATGTTAGTAGCAAGAAATATACAGCTACATTAAAAAAAAATATAAGGAGAACAACAGTTTAGTCCTGAAAGCGGCTAAGCACTCTAAGCAACCAATATGTACTTAAAATAGAATAACATAAAAATAGTGCAGCGCTATTTTTATGTTATTTCAAAAAATAATTTTTTAGTATTCTGGGCCTGTTTTCCTTTGATAATAAAAACGTCAGGTAGATATCCATTAGCATTCACCACCAAATGAAAGCCCAATTTGTCCTGAAAAAAACATGGTTAATCCACCTGGTTGCACAAAGTAGTTGTCAAAGTATTTTTACTAAACATGTCAAAGTTGCAAAATTGCTTAGGCATTTAGATTTGTTTTATCCTTAGGTGAGTAGGGGTAACATCTCTGTTGTGTGTAGTAAATTATCACAAAATAGCAACCTTGCTTTATAGTGTATCAATATGGATGTTAGTCCCAAGCCATCCCAAACTTCTGGCCCTGGGTATTGTGTGCTTACTGACAAATTGGCTGATTTACTAGATTTCTGTTTTACCAATTCTTATGGCAATATCTCTACATTTCTGCCTAAGTGACAAGCACCAGGTCACTGCATAGTGATCTTAGTTTTACTGTTGCCTTTTCATTATCCTTGAGGAGAACCATAAATGAGGCATGCGAGTCTAAAGTTTGGGATTGGCACTACTAGGAACTGCTGGATTTCTTGCCAGCAAGACCCCAAAAGGCAAGCGAAGTGAACTATGTGAGCACTAGTTACAATCTACTCTATAATTACATTTCATATATGTTGGAAGCCATATATAAACATATGATTATCGGTATGAATATTTGCAAAAATGTGCTACCACAGTACTTAATATTTACAATGTATTCTGTGTTTATTTTGTAGTGTACCTTCCAAGGTTGCTTTGAAACCCCACTTGCTGCAATTAAAATGCCATTTTACTTGGAGACTGCTAGAAAAGGATGGCAACGCTGATGAGCTGAAAGAAAGACTTGATTACCAACTTATATTCCTGGACACCAGCAACAAATACATGGTGTACAATCTCCTTGCCTACGTAATGCACTGGAAAGGTGATTACGCAGAAGCCATCAATAACTTAAAGAAAGCAGAGGAAAATGTTGAAGACTGTACCGATGGAAAAAAGCAAAAAGTTCCTTGTGACTTTTGGAAACTATGCCTGGATATATTTTTACATGAACCAATATGAAAAAGCTCAGATGTACATAGAAAAGGTAAACCAAATTTATGATGAGCTCAAGCAATTGCCTAATGATACTAACAAAATAGCAGAGGTTTATGGTGAACAAGGGTGGTCAATGTTAAAATTCAATGCAAAGTATTACGAGAAAGCCAAAGAATGCTTTGAAAAAGCTTTAGAACTAAATCCAGAAGATCCTGAGTGGTGTTCCGGCCATGCTATAGCGGTATACCGTTTGGAGGGACTGAACAGTAAGAAATGTGAAGCTTCTGAATGTAAGTCCTTACAGGCCTTGCAACATGCTGTAGAGGTAAATCCAAAAGATGCCGTCTTGAAAGCACTTCTTGCACTGAAGCTGCAGGAGCTAAAAAGAGATAAGGAAGGAAGAACATACATAGAAGAAGCTCTGCAACAAGCTCCAAATCTTCCATATCTACTTCGTTATGTGGCCAAATTTTACAGAAAAGCCGGGCTATTAGATGAGGCTTTGCGTGTCTTAAAAGAATCTGTTGATCTTATGCCAACATCTGGCTTTCTTCACCACCAAATAGGACTGTGTTATCGGCAGAAGATGATCAATCTAAAGAAGCTTGAAAAGGAAAACTATCAACTCCGGTATGTACACCAGGAAGAAGTGGATGAATTTGTCAACAAGGCCATTTTTCACTTTGAAAAGGTGCTGGAACACAAGAAGACATTTGTCTTTGCATATACGGACCTGGCAAATATGTATTGTGAAGTAAAGGCCTACCAGAAAGCAGATGACACATTTAAACAAGTTTTGCAATTTACTAATCTCACAAATGAAGAGAAGCAACAGGTCCACCAGGCCTATGCCCGTTTTCAAGAGTACCACAGGAAATCGGAATCAGAAGCAATAAAGCATTATAAAGAATGTTTCCAGATATCTGACCCAAGTCTGCCCAGGGATTTAAGTGAGAAAGCATTAAAAAGACTGGCCGAAAGGAAGATAAAGATTTACCCACCTCAGGTGTCTGGATTTGAATTGCTTGGATTTGTCTATAAGAATAGTGGAAACATAAAAGATGCCATCGAATGCTATGAAAAAGCCTTGAAACTTGATCCAGGCAATGACGAATATTTGAGTGAGCTGTGTGACTTGAAGCTAAAAATATGAAAAATACTAAACTAGAACCGACGCAATTATGTGCATCAATTTATAACACCCCCCAATTAGAAACCAGTTTCCAATAGGTTTTATCATTAAAATAATGTAAAGTAATTTCTGTTTGGCTGTGAAAAGAAAAGTGCACTTTAAAACAAAGTGCATGTATACTTTCTGCCCTCTTCCCCTGACCTAAATTAAACCATCCTCCCCCTTTACAGATGCATACTTACCTTGCTCCAATGGCCATGGTTCCACTGTTTGTATACATCCAGTGGTGTTCATTAGTGCCCATCAGTCTTCTATGGGGCTGTGTCTTGAGACCAGGAATGATCAGAGATGGTCCTATAGATGTCTATGGGGCTGTAAAGTGCATGGTGAGCTAATGAGCCATGGTAGACAGCTTTAGTTCTTCAGGCAGAGCTTCAGTAAGGATGATCCGATGGTGACATACCCCATCCTCCCTCCTGCTCCATTGAGAAAAGTCCTTTCATTCATATACTGCTTGTAACCAGATTTATGAATGAAAAACAGAATCCTTTTACTGATCAGACTGTCCCACATTCACAGATCGTGTTACAGTCCATGTACCTAATGTAATGAATGAAAGACTTTTTCTCAGTGGAGAAAGAAGAAGGCAGGGGCAGATCTTCTGCCTGAAGCTGTTACCTATATGTTCATGAGACAGGAAGAGGATGGGGCAGTGAAGATTTCTCCAAGATCCAGCTGCTTGCACAATGTTGGACATACTTTATTACAGGTACATGTTACGACTAAAACTTTAGGGATTTTTTTCTTCTAAACTTCAACTTTAAATTGACCAGAAAGTTTTTTCTTTATGTAAAGTACTTTAAAATTATTTAAAATAATATAATTAACATCTTCAGTTTTATAACACGAATGTCCAGCTATATATACACACCTATCTATATTGTTATATTTTAACTAATTACAGTATTTGCAAGATTTATGTTGATTTGACTATTCATAAATAGTAAGGAGTTGATCAGTTCAGGTAAAGTGGTTATAAACCCTTACATATATCCAGTGAAGTGACTGGCCTCAGGCAGGGCCAGTGCTAGACTATTTTGTGCCCTAGGCAAGACCAGCTACTTGCCCCCCCCCCCCCCCCCATAAATAAATACATTTTTTTAAACAGTATAAAATATTAAATCAACAAGACATGGAACTGATACATTTCTTTTGATTTGCAAAAATAAGTGCCATAAGATGCCACAGCACCAATATTAAAGACAAAATCAGTGACGCGAACGGTGGGTGGCAGGGTAACACAGTTGCAGTGAGTGGAGGAAGATGGTTCCACATTCTGACAGATCCCAGGCTGGAATTCTCCTGCCAATGGGGGGAGATAAAACGCTGTGACAGCAGGCAGGCCAGCCCACACACACACACAGAGAACACCTGAACTGAGCAATCCCACACAGTGACAGATCTGACACAAAACACCACCACCAACACTGACACAGATCAGCAGGCCCAGCAGACACTAGAAGAGCAGGCTGTGGGATTGTGATGATGTCATCACTCACTGACATATTGCACATGTAATGGATGGCTGGCTGAGCCACACTCACACAGACATGAGACATCAGAGTTATACCTTACCTTCCTCCTCAGGCGCAGCTATACCTCTGCTGATGAGTGGGAAGATAAGGGCTGGAACTACACAGTGATTAGCAGCCGCCACCTGGCTTGCAGTAAGGGACAGAGTCTGAGAGGAACACTGGAAGGAGCTGCAGCTCAGCTGCTACACTGGCCTCAGACACCCAGCATCTTCCTCCCCTCTGCCATCCCTCCCCTCAGCTGAAGGAGCATTCGTGATGCGAGAGCATCACACACAGAGAGAGTGCTGGCCTGTGCTGCACCTGTGGCAGTGCACCCTAGCTAGCCGCCTAGTTTGCCTAGTGGAAGCACTGGCCCTGGACTCAGGTGATGCTCACAGATGAAACAATTCCTCCTACATAAGTTATACCTGTTTATCCACAGTCTTATCTTCTCTATATTTGTTCAAAGTACTAAATTTATAAAGCTTGTCTGAGAATCCAGAAAAAAGGGGGCGGGGAGCTGAAATTACACTCTACTGAGCTCAGTAAGGAGAGTTTTGAGAGCTGATTGGAGGGAAGGAACACCCCCCCCCCCCCCCCCCTCTCCATACAGCTCACAGGAACAGATCTGAGTCTGTCAATCTGCTGAAGGTCCCCTCCTGTCACCTTTTTTTCTCTTGGTGTCAGGAACACCTGTCAGAAGCAACTCATGCTGAAAACAGAGGAATGAAGCAACAGACAGAAATGACACTTAGTGCTCTGGATTGAGGCAAGTACACATAGAGGGATATGCTTTGTTCATATTTCATGTCTGAGGTTTATAACCACTTTAGCACAGGTGTTGTTTAGGGGCAATGAATCTTCCAGGTCGATTGCAAACAGATACTCTTTTTCAGCTATTACTCAGTCTTTTCTGTGCATTTCTTATGGTAAGTCAACATTCCAACCCAGAATACAGGTTACCCCCTCCTTACTCTATGCCCTCCAGTCATTGCCCAAATAACAGAGTACTGCACTTCTTATCAAAGTATAGTACATATTAGGGTGATGACAATACAATGAGAGGTGAGCCTAGTCCCATCATTCCTGTGCGTCAGTAAAAGCAGAATCCCTACCTGTGGAATCTGCAGTCTTGGACTGAGTGTGGGCTACCAGACTGGACCGCTAAGAGGTCCAAAAGCACTATTTTACTAAACTACTAAATGCTTACAGTCTTGTAAATATTCAACCACTACAGTAATCTTTAAGTATATTCTTTCAGACGCACCAATTGATTTTCAGAGATTAGTTGGTCACTATTGATAACATTAAATTGTAAAACAAGAAGAGTAGATATATATACACACACAGCTAAAACACAGATATGTGAGCTGATGTCTCTGTCAAGAGTTTATACAGTCTTGCTTTACATCTGTGTCACACAGTATAGCCATATAGCTAACAACACTACTTCTGTTTTCAGCTTTGCAGCTTCCGGTGTCACCTGATAGCTCAATAGGCAACAAACTGCAGTGAGAATTGCACTTTAACAGTTGTACTTTCTCCTGTTATGGCTTTCATATTTATTATATATAGAAATTGTTGTAGTGTAATGTGAAATTTTGCTAAAAATTAATAAAGATGAGCTGATAAATAATAATAATTCTGTTCAGGATTACAGCTATGCTAATCTGTTTTACCTTTGTTTGACAAGTTATTTGATAATAAGATTTGAATTACTGTTTTATGTTCATTGTCTCACTCCATGGCTGTGAGGCTATTCACCAGTTAGATTGCTTATGCTTACCATGGGCCTTCAGCTATTGTTTGAAATGTTTGTAATGTTTGGATCCTTTTTATGTGTTTCAAATAAACATCGTTGTGGAAAAAAAAAAATTAATAAATATTTCTTTAAAATCAACTGCTTTTGAAATATTTGGCTTACAAATATAGAGAATGAGCTTAAAGCTGATGTTCAGTTTACAAAGAAAGATATACTGTAAAAAGAGCCTTGCAGTGACAACAGCCGCACTGATTGGAACCAGCTTCACTCAGCGCTTGGTTATGGGAGAAGGAACACAGCTCATACCTTCATAACCCAATTAAATCAAAGGGTTTTTTTTTTCCCAAACAGAGCCATATGGCACCTAGCCACCAAAAGGTTAATTCAGGTGGTGATCACCAGGAGAAATGTGGGAAAATAATAATTCTGTTTTTTTGCTGAAGATTAACCCCTTTAAAGCAAACCAATGGAGACCAGATTAAAATTAAATTTATATACTGTATGTGGCTCCCATGAAAAAAATAAATGAACCTTGACATATGGACCTATTTGCTACAAGTGTCCAGAGTTGGGCTTTAAAATTGCTTAAAAGCAGTATTACTGTTGGCTATATAAATCCTGAATAATAATAATAATAATTATTATTATTATTAATAAACTAAAAAAAACAAAAATGAAATATATTGCAGTTTACCAATCTTTAGGTGTGGTGGCTGCATTAGTTTTCTTTTTTAGGCTGTTCTCCTTCTGTTTTCACCTGGTGATCTAAACAGTAACACATCTCCTGTATAATACTGCCCCCACTCTGGATGAAGGAGCACGGGGGCACAGCAGACAGCAGCATTGTCATTGCCTTGGGGGAGGGGAGTGTTAGATGTACTAGTTGATTTAGATATTCTAACAGCCAAACTCCTGCTCACACTGCAGTTACACAAGCAGTTACAGCAAACTGTTTTTTTTTGGGGGGGGTGAAGGTTTTACATGAATAAATAAAAGCTGATCAGTATAAGCACCCCTGTCAGTGCTAAATAGTTTATCCCAAAACTCCTAACTGAGACATTTGCAGGACAGCTTGTTCTTTTGAAAAATGACAGACTTGTTGACCAGATCACCAGATAAGAAAGAAAGAAAGACTAAAAAAGAAAAATAATGCAGCCATCACATATAAGAAATGGTAAGCTGCAATATAATAAATGTTTGATTTTCGGTTTAATACTGCTTAAACTCCTTACAATGTATATAGCGCATCTGGATGGAACTGTTTTTAATCAAGAGACATTCAACACCATCATGCCTTCACCCAGCCCTCTCATCTTACCTCCTAACTGTAAAACAATATATAAGTGTTAAATTATATAATCATATGTAGCACTGCAATAAGAGGAGCTGCTAACTGTTTTGTGATATCTCTGCACACCTGAAGATGACAGGCCACGCTCACCTCACCCACCACTTACCAACACACCTTGAAGTATTTCAAAGAATTTATTACTCCATGCATAACCTATAAGAAGAATTGATTAGTATGTGTATCTATACAAACAATCAAAAGGACAATAAAGTTGCTCTGACAGATATGGTTAAACACATGCAGTATTCTGACTAATGGTAATTAGCAGAACTGAACTGCATTTACCTAGCAACAGTAGATAAAGACAGTCCTAACTTGCTGTAACAGTCCCCTT